GAACTTCCCCACACACGGATTGCTCGCAAAAAGTTGAGACCGAAGAGGCTCCAGCACATTCAGAGTCACCCTCGTCTTGACGAAATGGCCTGGAACTCCCCGAATTCCAAAAGCCCAGCAACCAGCACCGTACCAAGCTTCGCCTCCGCCATTCTCCTCCCAAACGCAATGGTTCGACAGTGTGAGGGGATTCCCCACATTTCCACCCAAAAAGGTGCCTTCGACAGAGATTCCACCACCTCCGGGGTCACCGGTTCCCACGCTTGCAGCTCTAAGATGCGTTCTTTAACCTGCTAGGGAGTACGCTGCAGGACCTAGTCTCTATCTCGCTCATCATCAAACAAGAACTGGAGGAGGCCCAGCTCAGCTTCAATGACCATCACGTTACCAGAGCAGCCCCATTCTCCATGGACAATCTTCTGAATGGTCTTGAAACTCGGCGGATTATCAATGAAGAGTCTTCCAATTAGGCTCAACTTAGCCCTTCTCATGCTATCCTCCACATCATCCAGTTCAAACTCCATAATCTGATCAGCATCCATTGGCTCTCCGGACATGGTTTCGCTCTTCCCAATCACATGAAAATATTGAGAAAATATGCGAAACAGGGCAATGAAACACAGAGCACCGATGTGGGGAGTAAGCTTAATAAGATATAATCGTAGTATGACCATCTGAATCATGGTATTATTACCTCGATCCCTAGGTGTATCCAGCCCTCTTGGTTCCGATATCTTTCTCGCAGCATTCTGTAAGCGCTTAGTTGCAGGGTCGAGTCGCTGACTTGTGGTAATATATACACACCTCGGTGCCAATCTCATTACCGTATCTGTAACCGTCTCCTGATTCAAGATTATCCCCCCTTTTATTTTTCGAGATTTCATCCCAACGGCGGATTTGGGTATATTTCCATAGTTTTCCTTCTTTTTCTGATAACTCTCAGTCGTGAGCGAAAAGGTCTCCTCCTGGGTCTTCTTCTTCCACACAAAATCCTGCTTCTCGTCCCCATTTTCCATTTTGCCGCTGCTTTGATTATTTCCCGCACTTAATCGGCCATCTAGTAGATGCCGTCTTCCTCCCGATCTCTGTCCTAGAGATTCCAGCGAGGGTAAGGGATAGGAAGCGCAACAGAAAATAATAGGGTTTTTCGAAGAGAGAGAACATAGCTTTTTGCCCTTTTTTTTTTTGCCAAAACTTGAACTTTTTTAATTGGATTTGTTCCCTCCTCCATCTTGCGGGGGCGTGTAAAGAATATTTCTTAATCAATTTTTATATTTAATTAACTGTATTAAGTGGCCTTAGTGGTCTACGTAGTGGGCTAGTGGCTCCTCAATTGTAGCTAGGTTTGGTATCTTTCTGTTGTAACGAGAGTATTTAACACACTCTCCTAAGAGCACTTCTACTATGCTATATAGTATTGGTGCTTTAATGTACAATTTAAAGTTGTACAATAACATTAAATGTATAAGTTTAGATTGTACCATAAAGCAATTTGTACCATTATGTTATGATACAACTTTACAACTTGAAATTGTACCATCACATAAATGTACAATTTCAAGTTGTACCATAAAAGAATTTGTATAAAAAATATTGGTACAATCTGAAGTTATACCATAATGTAAATGTACAATTTTAAATTATATCATAAAGACAAAACCCTATACCACCAATACTATATAGCATTGTAAAATTTCTCCTTTCCTAACCAAATACAAATCACATCATTTAGCATTGTCAGCTTGGTCTTGCGGCGGTGGGACAGCGGCCGAACCGCCATGGTGGGCTTTCAACGTTGGTTCTGATTTTTTTCCATCAAGCTTCTCTTGGGCGTAAACAAGAACAGCATATTGAAGTCCGTGTGTAGTGTGCTCTGTTTTCAGAACCGGACCGGAGGCTGAACCGGAAAAGTTAGTGGTTCAAGGGTTCACTGGTTAATCGTTACAAAACCGTTGGTGAACCGTTAATGATATATAACATATAAGACTTGTATATTACACTAATTTAAGAATGAAATTATCATTGACCATAAACAAGTTCAAATTCATATCATCACGAAAATATCTAATAAATCATTCCAACCATCTCACAAAAGAAACCACATTTTTTAATTCAAATTAAAAATTACGGTTCTAGTTGGTAGTAGACAATGTAAAATCGACAATAAGGTTGAGGAAGCATATATAAAATTAATAATTATGATTTGATGGTCTTAGTTTATGTTAAAATATATTTTTTTGTTAAAATAGTGAACCAATGGACCAGTTAAACCGTGTCGGTTCATCTGATTTTATGTTGAACCGTGAAAAACCGTTTGGTCCATCAATAACCGTTCAAACAATGAACCGGACCGCTATCGTAACTGGTTTGATGGTTCTACTGGCCCGACCGTTGATCCGGTTAGATTCTTATAACAAGGGTAGTGTGTACGGTAATCGTGATTTGATTTGAGAAAGTACATTTATTGTGTGGGATTGCATTGGAATGGGCTTTGGGCCACCGTGTGTAAAGAACGAGTCCACCAAGGAGAGAACGACCGAGAGCTAGGAGAGCTTGAGAACGGATCAGGACAGTAACCTTATGATGAGTAACTATGAGTAACCCGCCCACATCAGCATGACATCAGCATCCTCTCTCTCCTGGAAAGCCTTTAATTTTCCCCTCCTTAATCTTTGACGGACGATTTCTCACTCGTTTTAAGTTAAAATTTAATTTTTTTTGCACAGTTAGATAGAATTAATTGTGCTCTTCAAAATGATATCCACTTTGATATATTTTTCGAACAACAAAATTTGAGCCATTTTTTGCCAGTCTATACCATATGGTATTGACTGGTATTGAAATAAGAGCATACCTATGGTTTGAAAAGCGTACCATGGTGGTATGACACAAACTAAAACTGTAGGATGGTTGAATACATGATAGTAGAAGTATATTAATTGTCATTTACGACTTTTAACATTGTATACCATAAGATACCACCCCGTACCAAGGTGGTATTGTATGGTATTGTGTGGTATTTTTTGATCTTGTAATTTGTTCACCCAGAAATTTGTAGATCATGATGAACTCGTCTCTGCTGTGCAAACGTTTTCAAAAACGAATTAAAAACGAATAAGATACCATATGGTATGCAGTTGGTACCGAGAGGCCAGAAATTTTTTTTCTAAAAAAATATTGAAAATTTATCTCATTTTGTAGAGCACGATGAACTCGTTCCATCTGTGCAAAAAAATTTAAAATCCGAGTTAACACGAAAAAGATATGAGTCAATTAAGAAAGCTAGTGAAAATAAAAATAACCTTTAATTCTCCATCCTTATATCTGAATTTTCTAAATGAAGGGTCCAGATTTGGTTATTGATGGGTGCATAACCATGGGTTGCTCTGTGTGTGTGACTGTGTGTTTACTGTTTAGTAAGCTTGCCTGTGTAGTGTGTAATGAGCACTTCTACTATGCTATATACTATTGGTGCTTTAATGTACAACTTTAAGTTGTACCATAACATTAAATGTATAAGTTTAGATTGTACAATAAAGGAATTTGTATCATTATGTTATGGTACAACTTTACAACTTGGAGTTGTACCATCACATAAAAGTACAAGTTCAAGTTATACCATAAAAACAAAAACCTATAACACCAATGCTATATAGCATTTTAAAATTCCTCCTGTGTAATAGTTTTTGTTCACATCGAACAAGAAATCCCATGAATCTAGGGATGGCAATGGGTCGGGTTGGGTCGGGTTTTGCCAAACCCAAACCCATGGGTTTATCTTTGAAAAAAACCCGGGGTAAAACCCACTGGGTTTGAAAAACTCAAACCCAACCCAACCCGTTGGGCATCCGCGGGTTCATGGATACCCACGGGTTAAGTCGTAAAAAATTTACAATTACAAGTTCTTATCAAAATTAAAGTCAAATATCAATCTCTCAATACAAATTATCCACATATAAAACACCATTCTAGAAAATTCAAGCAAATCACAAATTAACTATACAAATTGTTCAATACCATTCTAGAAAACTCAAGAAAATTGAAGCAAATCACAAATTATCCATAAATAACATGTTTGATTGAAAGCTTCTTTCTTTTAATTAAGTTTCTTTACTCTCCACTCCATAACATCAACTTCATTCTACACAATTAAAAAGAAAAATTAGACATGTCTCCACAAACATAAATAAGAATAGTTGTTTAGAATATTAAATATACCGATCGAAAAAATTAATTATATGGGTGGGCGGGTACCCACGGGTCGGGTTTACCTAAACCCAAACCCAACCCGATAAATAGTAAACGGGTTTAAACCCAAACCCGACCCAAAACCTGTCAACACGGATTTTACCCACGTTGACCAGGTTGGGTCGGATGGGTACCCGTGGGTTCGAGTTTTGTTGCCACCCCTACATGAATCCGGTCTTGTTTCGTTTCTGATTTTTGCTTCGGTTTCGATATTAATCTTCCGTTTCCAACATCACCGGGCTTCAACTGCCAGAACCGGCAACTTACCAACCTTTTCAGTAATAAATCACACTCCAAATGAGGAAGGGAAGCTCTCTTCGTCCATCAACCCTTCAATCAGTTAATAAACAGCTTTGGTGCGTTATGATCACAACAAGCAAGATAAAAGAAAAGAGCAGCATAAGAGCAGCTAGTGCCGACTGCCAATGGACAACTGATCAGTGCCCGAATTGAAATAACAAGGATTAAGATGTTATTAATCATTTCGTCCTGTGGAAAAGTTTGGTATCATCACTAATTCACTATCATCCTTTTGACTCATTTAAGAATTACAGGCACTGTACCAGAAAACGGTTCATTCAACAAGTTGACACTGATTTCCAAACAACAAGGTATTGACAATTGATTCATGAATGGGAAATCCCTCTTCCAAAACTCATCTGGACGAAGAAACCAAACCAATTGTACACCAATTCTACAACTAGCCTCCATTCTGTCATATCCACATTGGTTTCCTTCATGACAGTAATCGATCACAACATCTCTCTTATGAAATCCAGGTTTAATGTATCCCTGACAATGAGGAACATCCCGAGAAGCAAAACCAACGTAATCCCTGATGACATAATTCGCTGCTCCACTTCCAAAGGTAGCTTCCTCCCACCTCTCGCTGCTTCCACAGCAATCAATGCCAAGGACCCTCCATCCAGAGCAGGCAAAGGGAGAAGGTTAATCACAGCCAAGTTCAAATTGAGGAGTGCCGCGAATTGGTATAGCCCATCAACATTCGACCGAGCAACCTCAGCACCAACTGCAATGATAGCTACAGGGCCTGCAACTTTACTTGCAGTCTGTGAGAAGTTCATCACAGTCTGCCTCAAGCTATCTAGAACGTTGTAAGTAAGACCCACAAATTCCCTTCCAGAGAAGTTAAACGCATCCATGATATTCCTAGCTACAACCTTATCGATTTTGAAATTCGGCGACAACTGAACTCCGATTCGACCAGTTCCATCAAAGCTCTCATCTGGGGTTACCTTAATCTCAAAATCCTGCTTCCCTCTCTCCACTTTCAGTACCACGTCTCTCTTGGGGTTCATCTTAATGACCTCGACAACCTCAGAGACCGAATTAACCCCTGGTTTAAGCACTTCCGAACCATTGATAGAGACGATAACATCACCAGGAAGCAACCCATCTCGAGAAGCAGCAGAGAAGGGTCGAACTTCAGGGACAAGAACACCAGGAAATGCCTCTTGAACAGGCAAACCAACCGAACAAACTTGAACCAAGATAATCGCGTAGGCGAAAATGATATTAGCAACTACACCAGCTGAAATCACTAATACCCGGTCCAGAATCGGCCGATTCTTGAGCAGATTCTCGTCGTCCGCTGGAATATCGCTATTGGGATCGTTATCAGGGAAACCCACGAACCCACCTAAGGGGAAAGCTCTAAGCGAGTATTCCACATTGTTGGAATTGAACTTGGCTAAAATCGGACCGAACCCAACTGCGAATTTACTTACGTGGATCCCCTGGAGGGTGGCGGCGAGGAAGTGGCCGCTCTCGTGCACGATTATGATAGCTGTCAATACTCCGGCTGCTTCAAAGACCGACTCCAAGTTGCCGAAATCGAGTCCTGCAATGGCGGCGCAGGAGGGGAAATCGCGCTGTCGGCCGCGGTGTGGGTATGTCCGGAGGAATGTATAGTTGATCTTCTTCTTGGAGAGGGGATTGGGGGCGAGGAGAGGGTATGAGAAATGGGTTCTGGGTCGTTTTGGAGTTGAGAATCTGCAGGAAGGAGAGGAAGCAGTGGGCAGAGGTGAAGAAGAAGAAGCAGAGAAGGAAACTGGCATGGTTAAAATGGCTGCTTTCGTTTATTCTCCTCTCTAAGTGAAGAAATTTGAGAGAGGGGAAGAAGGAAGAGGTTCGAAGAAGAGGAGAGGAGCATTTGGATAAAGCCATTGCAGGTTGAATAGAAAAAATATAAATTTGGGCGGTCTGTGGAGGGGAGGTGATATAGATGTCTCCCTCCATTGCCTTCCACATAAATTGGGAGAGGGGGTGATTTTTATGATTACTATGAAAAAGGCCCAGTTTAGTAAATTCGCATTGTTCGTACTTCGTACCTGGTAAAAGCCTAGTTGTGTTTTCTCATTTGAACCGGTTAACAAGGCCAGTGCAATTTGCTGTGTTTTCGGAAAAAATTACCAAGGGTGAATTGCATGGTTGGTCACCGTTCAAGTTTAGTCACTCGAAATATTTAAATTCATTGGTGATACTTCAATTTACAAAAACCGTTCACGTTTGGTCACTCCCCGTCCAACTCTGTTAACTTTTGCTTACGTGGCGGTCAATTTTAAAAATTGACCGTTAAATGAGTGATATAGCAATTAAAAAATTAAAAAATAATAAAATTTAATTTTTATAATTTTCACGTCATTTATAACTATTAAAAAGATAAAAAAAAATTATAAATTATTAAAATTAAGAGGAAATTCTAAAAGTTTAGCCCATCCACCATCCTGAACGCGGAGCTCTTATCCACAACAATGGCGGCCTTCTCCACCGCTGCTGGCCCAAACTGCTTAATAATTGACCCGCCGGGCGCTGAACAGGGCAATGTCGACCCCGTCAAACTTATCGGCGGTGAGCTCCTCCACCGTGTAGTTCCTATCCTCGAAAGTCATATGCTTCCCAGCTGAGCGCTTGGAAGCCAGCATTTTGATTGAACGGTAAGGGAAATCCTGGACGGAGACTGAAGTTTGGGCCGGCTACTTTGGAAACGGAATCTTCATCGCGACCACGATCGCGTCAGCGACAGCAGGGGGATCTGCCGATCAAGCCGCCCTGGTTCGCGGCAGGTCGGATCTATAACGTTTTGACCCGGATCCATGACCCGGTGGTCGTGGCGGTTAACTTTCTGGGTTAATTTCCCCTTTGTTCTTAATTTTAATAATTTATAATTTTGTTTTTATCTTTTTAATTGTAGAAATGAGGTGGAAATTATAAAAGATTAAATTTTATTATTTTTATTAATTTTTTAATTGTCACATCACTCACTTAACAATCAACTTGTAGAGTTGACCGTCACATTAGCAAAAGTTAACGGAAATGAACGGAGAGTGACCAAACGTGAACGGTTTCAGTAAATTGAAGTACCACCAATGGATTTAAATATTTCGAGTGATCAAACTTGAACGTTTTTTGTAATCTCAGTGACCAACCATGCACTTAACCCAAATTACCAAGCGATCCTTTTTGGAAGTTGAGATTTTAGATTATGTATTCAGCCAATACATGTCATTCGAAGAATTTGTAGATTTTTATTTTAAAATGAAACATAACTATTTGTATTTGAGCAGGAGATAAGACCAGCAAAATTATTCATTATGGATGATTGTCAAATCCAGAAGTCTTCTTTAATTCTGAAGGTTTGGGCAAGATCTGGCTAGTGTGGCAACCGGAGATCCAGCTAACAATCTTAGACATCTCTGATAAGTTTGTACATGTGTTGATCGGTGGTAAGGCACCATTCTTTGCTACATTTGTTTATGCATCAAATAGTGAGGGTCAAAGGGAAGCTCTATATGCTGCTATGTCTAGAATCAAAGTAGTCAACTTCCCCTGGTTACTAGTTGGGGATTATAATGCTATTCGAGACCCGAGTGAAGGTTCTAATGCTCCTCAATTCTCTTCTAGTATGAGGGCTTTTAATGACTGGTTAAGGGACATTGAAGTTGAAGAGCATAAGTCTACAGGGTCGTGGTTTACATGGCTTAACAAGAGGAATGGAGATCCTATTGCTCGAAGATTAGGGTTTTTGTTAATGTGGAGTGGTTGGATGTGATGAAACATAGTGTTGTGCACACTCAGTCTCCAGGGGTTTCAGATCATTGTCCAGTGCTTATTCAAACTGAATTGCCAATGAAATCTTTGCCTAAGCCCTTTAAATTCTTTAATTTTTGGCTTGAGCACCCAACGTTTGCAGAGCTACTTAATCAGGCATGGAAGGAAGGGGTCTCAGGGTCTCCTCTGATCGGGGTTTACAAAAAGCTAAGGATTCTGAAAGGTTTGCTGAACAAGCTTAATAGGGAGGAATACTCTGACATCAGGGGAAGAGTGAAGGACAAGGAAAGAGAGTTGGAAACAATTCAACTAGATGCCCTTTCTAATCCCTCTCAGGGGAGCTTTGAGTGTGAAGTTAGAGTCTCTAAGGAACTGTTTGAGCTGCTTAAGGCTAAGGAAATTTTCCTGAGGCGGAAGTCGAGGGAGCTGTGGTTGAAGTTAAGAGAGTCAAATACAGGATATTTTCACAGGTCTATGAGAACAAGACTTAAGAGAAATACTATAACCTCTCTTAAAGATGCCCAGGGCAACATAGTGGACTCAGTTGAAGGCATGTGCAATGTGGCTATTGACTTTTATAAAAATCTGCGGGGAAGAGAAAATCCACATGTAGTTAATGAGTCTGTTGAGTTCTTTCAGGGCATTCTCAGGCATAAGCTCACCTCTGAGCAAGTCTCTTCTGTCTGTGTTCCTATCTCTGCTGCTGAAGTTAAAGAAGTTATGTTTAGATTTCATGGAGACAAGAGTCCTGGTCCAGATGGATTTAATGCTAGATTCTTTCAGGCTACTTGGGATGTTGTTGGAGCAGAAATCACAAGGGTTATTCAGACCTGTTTTGTAACAGGGGTTCTTCCTAGAGAGGTAAATGCTACAATTCTAGCTCTGATTCCTAAAATTCAGAATCCTGATGATATGAAGTTCTTCAGGCCAATCTCTTGTTGCAATATTATTTACAAATGCATTTCTAAGATTGTGGCAAATAGGTTCAGTCCTCTTCTCCCTTTTATTATTAGTAAAAATCAGACATCTTTTGTGAAGGGGAGGGTTATTGGTGAGAATATCCTATTAGCTCATGAGTTAGTGCATAAGTATACTAGAAAGAATGTTTCTACTAGATCTGCACTTAAAATAGACCTCATGAAAGCATTCGATTCAGTGAATTGACAGTTTCTTTATGTGGTGTTGGTTGCTATGGGGTTCCTTTACAGTTTATAAGCTGGATTAGGATGTGTGTCTCTAGTCCCATGCTTAGCATTGCTTTTAATAGGTGACTGGTGGGTTATTTCCCTGCTAAGCAAGGTTTGAGGCAGGGGGATCCCCTTTCCCCATATCTTTTTGCAGTAGCCATGGAGGTCTTCTCATGTCTTTTAGATTTGGAAGATGCAAGAGGTAGATTCCCCTATCACCCTATGTGTAAGAGAATAGGCTTGACTCATTTATGCTTTGCTGACGATTTGCTAGTATTCTCTGATGGGTCCAACTATGGGATTCAGAGTGTTCAGAGGGTTCTGCATGAGTTTCACAAGTTATCAGGACTTCAGTCTAATCCAAGCAAGTGTGAGATATTTTTTGGAGGTTTGGAAAAGGGGGAGATGGTAGTAAGAGTTAATAGATATGGGTATAAGCTTGGGGGGGTTACCTGTTCGATATCTGTGGGTTCCTCTTGTGGCTGGTAAGTTGACTATAAATGCCTGCAAGCCACTAATAGATAAAATCACAAAAAGGGTGCAGGGTTGGAAGGCAAAGTCCCTGAGCTATGCAGGTAGAGTTGAACTAGTCGGGTCTGTTCTTTATAGCATGACTCAATACTGGATGAGTGTGTTTATGCTTCCCAAAGCTGTTATTCAAGAGGTTGAGAGAATCTGTAGCAATTTTCTCTGGTCAGTGGGGCCTGGTCTCAAACTTAGAGCTAAGATGGCTTGGAAGTACTTGGCAATTCCAAAGAAAGAGGGAGGGCAGGGCCTGAGGGACCTGGTTTCCTGGAACTATGCTTGTGTTTACAGGCAGATATGGGCAGTTATGATGCAGCAAGGATCACTGTGGGTTGCTTGGATCAAGGCCTATAAACTGAAAGGAAGGGATTTCTGGCATATCAATATAAGTGGTTCATGGAACTGGGGGAAGTTGTTGAGAATCAGAAACAAACTTCCTAATCTGTTTTGTTGGAAGGAGGGAGTGTTGCACTGGGATGACAAACCAATGAAGAGATACTCCGTCAAGATGATTTGGGAGTCTGTTAGAGCAAGACATAGCAGAGTAGGCTGGTACAAGCTCCTCTGGAAGGCGATTTCTATCCTGAGGAACAGATTTCTTGTGTGGCTTGTTATTCACAATAAAATCCAAACTAAAGAGAAGATGAAGAAATGGGGATTTGTAGGTTCTGATCATTGCTATCTATGTGATCAGGCAGGAGAGACAAGGGATCACTTGTTCTCTGTTTGCCCTTACTACACTGCTGTTCATCAGCAGCTGCTGGGGGGTCTCTCCTCTTTCATCCCTCAGAGCTGGGAAGAGAACCTTAGCTGGGCTACAAGAAAGTTTGGTAATAAATCTGTGGTTGCAATGAATGGCAGATTGATTTGGCAGGCAATGGTGAGTCACGTGTGGAGAGAGCGATGCAGGAGGGCTTTTGGTGATCAGAAGCGGTCTTCGGAGGATCTGATTCGGATTATTAAGAGCGAAGTTTGTGTTTTGGTGCAGGACCCTGCAGATTTGGAGACTTTCTGGTCTGCTGGTTCTGGTTCTTTAGATCTCTTACCCCCGAGTTTATAGCTTTCTAGAGATAGAGGGCTGGTTTTGTTTGGTTTGACTGTTCTATAGGTAAAGAGTTTTGATTTGTTTCCACTTTCTGTTTCCACTTCCCCTAGCTGGCAAGGGTGTTGCCAGCACCGCTTTTGATGGAATGAAGTAAATCGATTCATCAAAAAAAAAAAATTCCAGCTAAAAGTTGAAATTTTCAATCTCTCATTTTTTTCTTCTTCATTTTTTGAGGAAACACCACAATACT